GCGAGTAATTCGCGATTTTTTTTCACCGACTTACGTTGCAAAATTTGTCTCAACGAAAAGCATTTTTATTTTCCCGAAAATATACAGTCCATGTCTTTATTACTTTATTAGATTTTAATTTATTCCTTAAATATATATGTAGTTGTTATACGATGTTGTAGATTTTAAATCCACTTTTTAACCCCAGACGCAAAAGGGGGTGTATAAGTTTAACGTGGTACTATGTGTCTATGTATCTGTATGTCTGTCTGTGTTGTGTCCCGTTACTTTAATGATATTACACTGATATGGTATCCTAATATAATTGATGCTGCAGCGACACCTGGAACCTGAAAGATACTCAACTCTACAAAAATATTGCAGCTATATCGTGTTTTTATTAGGCTCAATAAAGAGGCCTTATTAAATAGGCTATTGTGTTGGATTTTGTTTTAATTTTTAAATTAAATTTATGAAAAATCGTATCGCTATAATATCCAACTAATATTATAAACGCGAAAGTTTGTAAACATGTATGTATGGATGTATGTTTGTTACTCTTTCACGCAAAAACTACTAAATGGATTTTGATAAAACTTTACAATGAAAATATACATCAGAATAACACATAGACTACTTTTTATCCCGGAAAAATGTACGGTTCCCGTGGGATAGGTTTGCTTTTATTTTCCTAGAGGCGAATCCGAGCGAAGCGAAGGCAAGCCTCTAGTTATCACTATATAATTAACAAAGCATGCAATGTAATAAATAATAATAATTACACGCTTCAGCCCATAACAACGAATAGCATGTTATATTAAACTTTGAAACTAAACCGTTCACTGAACGTTGAAATTAAATCAAATAGCTAGTAGGGTTAGCAGGGAATAGAGTCGCGGTACTGCGGCTCTCACGCGTCCGGGCACACGTAAATTGGATTACGTCGGAAAGGACTAAATGCTGCTGTCAAACAAATTGCTTGTGTCGAGTTAATGGTCAACGTCTGGTGCATGATGAAAAACGTTTGCATCTCACTGTTGGACACTATAGTTTACATATCTGTTGGATAGAAGTATTATAGAGCTTTAGATTAGTTTAGATTTGATGATATACGGTTAGTTTTGTTCCTAAAATGCAAAAGAAAATGGCGTCTTTAATGTTTTGTAAATTTCATTGTAACTTAGTATGTAAAGTAATATTGGAATCGATTTTAACTTACTTTTAATAAATCGTACCATTACCCACAATACAGGTAGTGAAATTCAAAAATGACTAAAATATATCTGTTAAACTGAGTTTTAAATTAATTAAATTGTTTAAATTATTACTTATTCTGGCCATTTTTTTGGCCAAGGTATGTAAATTGGAAAATTTATTAGTCATTTGTAATTCTATCCTGTTTCCATTCTTTATCTACACAAGTACATTTTAAAATATGTAAAATTTATTGATAAGTGTATGCAAAATATACAAGATAAAAATGTTTAAATCTAAAAAAAAATATTACGACGTCATTTATTATTTTGTTTCATACAGTTAATACGCTTATAATAGTATACACGCAAGTCAACGTTTCGTTTATATCCGTATTACTGATGTATTTTACGTTATAGTATAAACTTCTTGGTATTTATACTTTTAATCCATTTCTTTATGAAAACATATTTATATACTATACTAGCTTACTTATCGTTGATTAAATGAGTTTGAACCTCATACAGGACATACATGCAAAGTTTTTACTGCTTATCAAAATGACATTACAATGGAATGGCTAAGAAACACATAGAAGATAACATACGAAGAACCATGCATTTTTATTTATATAAATAAAAAAAATACAAGGAAAAAAGAAGAAGAAAATATTATACGTCCTAGCAATTTGGAAATGATAAACAGACATACATATACACAAAATATTTTAACTGTATTTAATTTATATGACGACACGTTTAGCTTAGTTTGTAGTGACCCAACTTGCTGTGCCAGCGGTCGCGGGTTCGAGTCCCACTGGATTCATTTGTGTGATGAGCACGAATGTTGATACTCCAGTCATGGATGCTTATATTTATAATACATATGAATTTAAACTTACATACATGTAGTGTATCAACTATCTGGTATCCATAACACAAACCTCGTAGCTTACCCGGAACTAGATGGTGCTGTGTGTTAATGTACCTACATATTTATTTATAATTTAATTTAATACTTTTTTTTACCTTGTCGAAAAGGTAAATAGAATAATTAAGGCAATAAATCTTACCAACATTAAGCTACGATTATGTAGAGCTTAGAGGGTATTATATAAATACTCATGTCCAACCCTCGTTTTACCAAATTAGACTTTATTTAGTCGATTTTTTATTTAGCAAATGAGCACAAAAAATTAAATTTAACACAAACAATTCCTAACGATGCGAAATGAAGCTTTTGCATAACAATTTTAGTCTCTATTAAAATATCCACGCAACCCTTCCCATATACCTGTGTACATTAAACTAACGTGTAACAAAATGGCAAAAATGTTCAATCTAAATTAGGTTTTATTACAACGGAGGATATATTAAATTTGCTTATATAAATTATGGCCAAGTTAAGTGAGTATGGCAAGGCTGTCCTTCCGTTGCCTCCAACGAAAATCTAACACCTTTAATTTACCCCAAATCCCTTTTAATTTTGGGAACGGCACGTTCCTTTTATGCCATCGTGCGCTGGTTTTATAAGGTAGATTAATATTTTAACGCTATGTCAGTTAAGTCCCCAAACTGACAATTTAATCATTGTATCTGACATTATGATTGTTTAAGACATTGTCTTGCAGTTGTTTTTCTTTGTTTATATTGTTATTTGTAGCTATTTCAAATTGCTTTTACTAAAAAAAATTTATTTTGTGCATTTTTCATAAAACATTTTTATAACGACACAAAAATCTTGCATAAAAATTTTATAGTTCCTTAGATCGTTAATAATTAATGTGTAGTTTTAAAACACTTTAGTTAGCATCTAGTTGTGTTTTTTTTCTAAAATTCCTAAAAAATATCTTTATTATTTTCATAAAACACTGTAAAATAATTTTAGATATTATAAAATTAAAATATAAAACAACTATCAAAAGGAAATAATAATATATGAGCAAAATGTGACATGTTTGATAGTTAATATTTACTTACTTTTACTTAAGTTATATAACTTATTAAAGATACATGACATAAAAAAAAACTCAAATGTTAGAAAAAAACTTTTATTTTTAAAAAACAAACTCATCAATTACAATAAACTCTAACATATATAGTTGAACTAACATAAACAGCCAGCAACTTTCAAGATACAACATCTCAATACATTTACATTTATTTGGTAAATATTTGTTCACATTATTATTATTAAATGTATCACAGAATTACAACAAATAGAAATTATTGAAATTTCATACATTAATGAACGTGATATTTTTTATAGAACAATTTTATATGTAAAATATGAATAGCGACACAGCTTCAAACAAAGTCTATTACTAAAATTGAAATCACTCAATCGATGTTAAAGAAACATAAATACTGAAAATGGCAGTAGTTAGGCTATTCGACAAGTATATTTACAACCACATATGAATAACATATTTTCTATCTATACAGGGCTTATGATTTAATAGAAAAAATTTAAAAGCGACCTATATACAAGACCATTTTGTTTATAACACATGACATTATCCATCAACGATTTCCAACTACTGATTTGTCATTTTGTTGAAACGTGTACTTAAATAAATAGTTTTAAAGTTCAACTGCAATTATGTAATAAAAATATATGGTTTATGGGAGTCTAATAATATACTAAAGCATATTTAGAATTAGGTCAGTCGTAGTCATACAGACAAACTTAAAATGCTGTGCAAATATAATAAAATTGATGTAATAATGACATTAAAAATAATTATTTAATAAGTATAATGGTTTTAAAATATATGTTTATTATTATATTCTTGAAGTATTTTTTAAATTGCTGTATTTACCAAAGGCCTCTAGGCCAACTTCGGCTACGGTGACTTATCTGACTGAGATTAGCCATTTGCAGGAGATAATTTTGTTCGCGCAGACTACGCTCTCTATTCCTTTAACGCTCATGTTATTGTATGATTGCTGTTACCGAGAATAATATGAAAGAAGCACCCACTAAGCTTTTGGTCCGACGCTGGATTCAAATTTATGCTAGCCACTAGACCAACAAGACAGTATGCTCTTGCAAAACTTTAGTTTAACTCTCCTTTGAGATAAATGTGACGTCCATTCATTATTCCAAGTTTAAGTTTAAAATAAACTTTAAGTTTGTAGTCTTATATGGGTTACTTAGCCCACAGACGACATAATACTATATTAGTGTAGAAAGCTCCATCCCATACAAAAAAATTGGAGAGCGCTAATTCGGACTATTTTTGGTTGCAAATTTTCAAACCATTTTATTTTATAAATATCTGTATTTGTTATGTTAAGCTTAGCAAAATTTATCATATAAATAATTAAACAATGTTATATGTTATTCTGACTGACTGTAATAGTTTTTAACCACACTAAATAAATATTAAAGAAAAACGTCATCTGAGAATAAATATGTACTGCAGACAATTACTTGATTGCTGATTTTTCAATAATCAGTAAAGTTTCGCTTTGCTTTAACATCGCATTATTTCGTTTTCCTCCATTCAAGATATTTTTTAAAACCTTTTTTGGATAATTTATTTATCTAATGCTATTTTTATAAAAACCTCAATAACAAACCGACACGTCCATGATCTATTGACAATTTTTCAACAATTCTTTTTGGTTTCTGACGAGACCCATGCTTAGACTTAGTACTGAATAACGAGTAGTTAGAAACCGTTATCACAAATAAAATGTTATGTTATATTGTCATTATGTTCCACAAGGATCCTTTTAGAAACATATTATGTATTACATTATTAAATATTATGTACAGTCTTCACAATTTGCTTATCTATTAAAATGAAATCAATATGTCTATAACGAGTTTCTAGTATTATTTATATCTTCGATGTCATTCAGGAAGCGTATTTTGTCAGATACGCGGTATCTGTGGAAGAAAAACATGGAGTCATTTCAAACGGAATGAATTATGTAAATGTTGGTTACCATTCCTTTGAGAGTTGAGTATGTCGTGTGTGTTATTTAAATTATTACTTACTTTGAACGTTTTTTTCTTCTCACCGTATTCACTGGAGTCGCTTCAATACACAAAACGATCAACCTCGTACTGCAAGGGTATCTGAGTAAGAAAATAAAACATGTTATTATTTATGTAAATAAATATTTTATAAAGATTTATAGGTATATTAAATGTAAAAATATTTTTGAAGTAAAATTTCTGTAGGTGTGACTGAGGGTAAGTGTTGCGGAAGTGTATCGCGGAAATGAAAAACAAATTTATTATTAACTAGCATTGCCCGCGGCTCCGCCCGCGTTCAGATGACCAAAAACTAAATTCTTAGGTGTTACATATTAGTATACTCTTACATTGCAGTTTTTGTATTTTTCCTCAGAAATAAGATATTTTCCCGCGGTAAAAAGTATCCTAGGATCGCGCGCTACATCGCCCGGTTTATATAGCTTGAGCAGGCGGTCGAGCGATGCGGGGCAGAGGGGATGGACTCGCCGTAGGCATCTCAATGCTCGCCAAGCATTAAAAATGTTTCGCTACTAATTACTTCTAACAACGATATCTCAAAAACTATTCATCTGATTGATTTAGTGTAAAGAGCAATTTTAATCTGCATTAAATGACTAAGCTAACTAAAATATTCATTTGGATAAGGATTAATACCGAACTAAAGAAAATAACTTTGAAAATAACGTAATGTTTTTAATTAAAAATGTTAACATAAAAGTGGTTATTGTAAGTCAACCGTAAGAGATAGAGATATGCTATCGCGGACTTTTTTGTAGCATTTTTATAGATTTTGAATTCTCTAGTACATTACTTAACTGTATCTTTGCTAGTTTACGCGGCGTTCGCGTGGAAAGTTCCCATTTGGCGAGATTTTTTGCGACCTCTTCAACATTTGTCGCCGTATTTCAGCTAATTTACATAAAAGCATAATAAATTATATACCTAAACCTTCCTCAAGAATTACTCTTTCTATTGTTGAAAACCGTATAAAAATCCGTTCAGTAGTTTTCGAGTTTATCGCGTACAGACAGACAGGAGGACAGACAGGAGGACAGAAAGACGCGGCCGGGGGACTTATTTTTATAATAAGTATAGATAATTTAAAACAAGAAATATTAAATTTATATTTTTATAATAATTATTACTTATAAAAATGAACATTTATTACTGTGGGATGAATGTGCATAAATTAAATAAAAGCTATTGACTAATTGTTGCCATGGTAACCGTTGTTATTTCCTGACAAATGATATATAATATTATATTCTTTCCGTAAATGATATTCTATAAATATATGATTGTAATATACCTAATATGCCTTATTTAATTATTGATTTGTTTTAATTTAATTGTGATATTTGCCAAAGAAATTTTACTTCAACCACGCGTAAAGGTTACGCGCATCCATTTTTTTGTGTATGATGCTTGAAGACAAATTGTATAAAGCAACATTAAAAAATAAGAGTATTTTGTAACATATTTTTAATGTCGAGTTTGAATGACTTTTTATTATTTAACTTATAAACACATAGAACAATTCAATAAAGTTTGTTAGTTTTCGCATAGAAATTCCTTTGTGTTTTTAGGCAGATGTTACGTCTGAATCAATATTTAAAATTCAAGCTAGTTCTATATTAAATTTAAAAGAGATTATTTTAAGGATTCCGCAGCGAAAAATAAAACATACGCAGTTGCTTTTACATATTTACAATTGCATTTTATCAGATTTTAATACGCTTCAGTTATAACTAATCAAACTTTGAAATTCGACCATACAATAATTTGATACAATCAAACTAACTCGTATGGTTCATTATGAAAAGATGCATAGTATATGTTATTATTTTCGCCTTTAAAAACACTTTTGAGCTTGTTCTCATTCAGTTCATTTTGTCGAGTCTCATAGTCCCATTCAAGATGATCAAAAGCATTTTTCATAGTTTAATTTTATGAATTATTGCAACTTAGCAGTAATATTTTTTAATCAATTCTATTAATATTTTCAACAATAAATTAATAATTGATTAGAATTCATTATATACATAGTAAATATGCAGTTAAAATAATGTAAATATTTTTTTTTAATATTCTTTAATTTGATGAAACTAAGCACGAACTAAAGAATGGTAAGGAAAGGTTATTCGGTCGAAAATTCGGCATTTATTTCAGATTTATTTATTATAATATAAAATATATTAAATGGATTTCTCCATTTTCAAATTAAGAAATAACAGTGAAATTTCGAGAGAAAATATTGTTTCAATCTCTACTGTGGCAAATATCAGATGACCCAAATACTAGGTCGCAGAAGTTTCTAGATATTTTTCTGTTATATAAGTGAAGTCAATAAAGCTGTGGTTTTTGATCGGTTGGAGTGCATCTTGAACCGGTATTATCTTAGAGGGATTGGTAGCAATATTCGTTGTCTTGAGGCTTTACTAGGAGAATGTGCCTATTGCTTTAGTCTAAAATATCCTTAATAATATAATGTAAGTGCAAAGTTCTTCTATATTTAACCTTTTTTTACTCGCTAAAAGAGCAACGAATCAAATTTTTACATATTATTATGTATAGTCTTGAAAGTGACATATATTCTTGTCTTTATATATCCAGTGATTTCCATAGGATACTTAAGGTAGTTAGTTTACTTAATAAGTTTAGACGTAGAGGTAGATAGAGCCTTAACAAAGCGTCGTTTGTAGTTAGCAAACGTGAAAAAGTAATTAAGGACTAAATAATATACGCTTATATTTATATAACAAAAAAACATGCAAAATAAAATCCATGGCCTTTTCAGTTTCTCTCTTTTATCTTAAATATCTTGCAAATACTTATTTTAAATCAATTTTCAAAAAATTAATTGAAGATTTGAGTCCATTAAAATTATTAATAATATTCATAATTATAGTTACAAATAATCACAAATATGTATAAAAAGCAAATATTTAAACGAATATCTTCGAAACACAAAAGCATATTTCACTTTATACACACGTTTTGGACGGCTTGTTCCTTGTTAGAATGCAACAAGGTGGTGAAGCCTAATTTCCCAAGATTCTACACTATATCACGCTCTGCAAATTTGGTCTGACGCGTGTTGGCTTAACGCTGTGTGGTGAATAATTTAAACAAGTATATTGATCAAAATTTGTTTTAATTATTATTTATTATCTATACATATAATAAAATGGTGAGTCAAATTTGTACATTAAATATTTTTTGGAGAATCTAATTGAAATAATCATTTTTATATATTAAAATTATGTATTATAATTTTCAGATTTTTTGTCTGTTTGTCTGTCCACAACCACTTGACAGATTTCGATGATATTTGGTATGATGATAACTGGTTAGCCGAGTCAACATATAGAATCCTTTTTACTGCGAGAAAGTATCTCATCTCTGAGAAATCTACACTAAGATTCGATTATATTAACAAACAATAATTATTATTGTATAACTATAAAATCAAAATATACGTACATTGCAATAAAATGTAGGGCGGATAAAGACTGTACTTGTTCAGCGTAGACTTACTAAGAGGACCTAAGTGGAGGATGATGGAGAATACCGATTTCTTTCAAATATATTATGAAAATACGATTGACTTTATTGCTTCCCTAATTTATTATTAATTAATTTTCCTTATTTATTATATTACTTATTAATTTTAAATAATTACCAGAAATATATATGTACAAATGGTGAATTTCAATGATTCATTGCCAATTAAATTCTAAAGTTAAAACATAACATTTTCTTTACAAAAATGCCCGGCTGAAGGAACATTTATTTAAATCGAACTGAATTGATCGGTTGAATATGGCAATTTTAGTCTGAACCATAACTCTTAATTCACATCTCTCGGACCAAAAGCTTACAGGAGAGTTGCGACCGTTGCATTGTAAACTGTATTTGCTGTGGTCAGTTTGATGCGAATAGCACACAGATATTTCGTCTTATTTTGGCGATATTCGATGAATCAATAACGTTTACATTCTAAGGTAGAGACAAATTGTATACAATTTATAAACAATTTGTTCAAATGTTCATCTAAATTACGAATTTTAAGAGTGATGATAAAACATAATTCTAAGATATGTGTTAAACACATTTTACATAATAGCAAATAATAATTATAATATGAATTAAAAAAAGGCAAAGGCATTAAAGTTGTCATCACTATATAAATCTTGAATCATATCTAAGATAATCTGTAAAGTAAATCATCATCTCCTTGCCCATTTCCCCATTATTTGAGGTCGGCGGAGTACATCTTCCGTAATGCTGATAGGACTTAAACTACTTATTTAAAGTATTAAAACCATAAAGCCCTTGCCCATACTAAAGGTAATAAATAAACTGATTAAAAATTTTAGAGGAAATTTTATCAATCAAATGTACTTACGTCTCCTGATCAAGTAGTTTATTAGAGCGTAGTGATGACGCTAGTCCAAATTTGCCAGGATTGCTACTATGCCACGCATCACAGAATGCGTCCATTGCTGGTTCACCAGTTGAACTTGCACCATGCCACACTGCTTTTGTTGGCCTTAGAATATATAGATATTATTCCATTTATTTTATTCACAATTTACTTTTGCTCCGTGTCAAGGTTTCAATTTTCTGAATATTTACACCGCGCGTCACATTAGCTTTTGATATGTGATCATGAAATGACTTTTAATTAATTATTTTCAAATCAAAATAAAAATTAACGAGTCTAAGTCAAATACTAAACTAATAAAACTACACGATTGCCAAAACCATAGTATTAGAACGTTAACTAAACAGACAGCTTTATAGCTAGGTTTGGAATTCTGGAGTCGTTCTAATTCATTTTATTGTTTTGTCATATTCCAGAAAATGACACTGGTATAGTCAAAAATTCAAGAAGGAGGAATTGACTTTTTGCAAGATCATAACATAATATAAAGGAAATATGAATATTTAATTACTATTTGAACTTACCAATCTGGATCAGTTAGAACATTCTTGCCATTGAAGCTGTATATTTTCGGTGCATGTGTAAACAAAGCTCCAGAACCATCAAACATTTCACTCCAGGAGTTAAAGAGAATGTCTCCTCTAATATTAACGACTGGCATCCTTGGATCCACCCATCTAACTATTGACGCTATATTTTGTACCCTGTTGGAGAAAAAAATAAACCAATTATCTATATTTCTAAAAGTTAAATATTATGTGTTTCTAGGTTACGTACACCATAACAATTAGAATTAACATCTTAATTTTCCTCCAATCTTTCTTTGAAAAGGAAATGGCATATTTAAAATTTTTTAGTAGTTTCAATTAAGATTCACTTCGCAATCAGTTTTCCATTGTTAAAGAAACAATTTCATATTTTTAAAATTAAAAATGCATGAAATTCAATTCTTATTGAATTAAACTATTTTTTTATCTTCGTTTCCAGCTTCAAAATTGATAGTTTATATATTTAAATCATTATGTGACTAAATGACGTAGTATACTTTGAGCTTTATACCGTAGTAAATATATATATATATATATATATATATATATATATATATATATATATATATATATATATATATATATATATATATATATATTACATATATTGTAAAGCATGAAACATTTAATCTAGAACTAGATATCCAGCCAACTTAAATTGTTCCAAAGAAACGTGCTTTGTCCCTATATAGCCTAAGTTACTGTAACTCTTTTTAAGAAAAAACTTCGTGACCTAACGCATTTTTTCAACACGATAGTACTTACAATTACTTTATCAGAATAGCCTCTCTCTTTGTGCCTGTATTTATACTGCTTTTACTTCACGTAAATAGAACTTAGTTATTGGATGGCACAAGCTATGTCTACTTAACAAAATAGCGAAATAATAATAATAGAATCTAAAGAAATATCTTAGGACGGGTTTGTTATTTTAACTAAATTATATGTAGAATATAAAATAAATGGTATTTTTTATATTATAATCATAGTGGATTCAGTCTAGCAGCAATATACTCTAGGATGACCAAATGCGGGTTGGCAGACTTCATATGTCTTTGGTGATATTTTACTTGTTACACAAAGGTTTCCTCGCGATTTTTTTCTTTACTATATTATTAGCAAGTGCTAATTATGTTGAAAATCATAATACTAATTTTATAATATGACTAGCATTGCCCGCGGCTCCGCCCGCGTTCAAATGTCCAAAAACTAAATTCTTAGATATTACATATTAGTATACTCTTCCATTGCAGTTTTTGTATTTTTTCTCAAAAATGAAATATTTTCCCGCGGTAAAAAGTATCCTATATGTTGACCCAAATAACCAGCTATCACCATACCAAATTTCATCAAAATCCCTTCAGTACTTTTTCTGTGATACGGTAACAGACAGATAGACAGACAAAAATTTTAAAAACTATAGATTCGGCCTCTGTATCGATAATAATGTTTATTTCAGTAAGATTTTCAAAAAAATATCTAATGTACAGATTCGGCTTAGTTACAATTTTATTATACATATGTATAGATATTGGAATAGTTCCTAAATTCATAGCAACTATAGGTAATAGTAATTTTGTTAGCTGTAATTTTGGGTGTAGCAAAAGGAAGAGAGGGTGGGTGGTTATTACTAGAAGATTAATTAGATGGAATCAAAATAATGATGGTTTAATCAAATCTATTGACCGTTAAAGACTTTAGTGCGTAATATAACCGGGGAATTGCTTATTTCTACTAAACTTTATTCGGTCTGCTTCATGGACAATTAATTAGATGTTCGATTTACTATCTGAATGTTTTTATTTTTTATCATAGGTTACAAATATATATTCAAAATGTTTTTGTCTTTATGTATGGTATGTCTAAATAATTTGAATCATTTATATGTATTTACAATATAATTTTCCTGTATATAATCTGTATTAAATCCATACTAATATTATAAATGTACAAGTGTGTTTGTTAGTTTGTTTGTTTGTCCTTCTTTCACGTTGAAACGGAGATACGGATTGACGTAATTTTTCGTGTAGAGATAGTTGGAGGGCTGGAGAGTGACATAGGCTACTTTTTACCGCGGGAGATAATATAATTCCCAGGGAAAACACATTATAATACAATCCAAAAATATTTATGATCAGAACAACTTAAAACTTGGCATTAATGCTCTTCAATAAAATTAAATGAATACGTGTTATAGCGTTTTTTGAAATTCATTCTATAAGGGGATAAAATAGGGGATGAAAGTTTGAATGAAACTACCTTTTTAGATATTTCTTTGTAGTTTTAGCGCGAGTGAAGCAGCGGGTTCTGGTAGTAGATTATAAAATGTAATTTTTTTTTCAAATAAGATAGTTTCAAAGAAGAAGACTTGCAAAAAATTATAAGCAACAATCAAGGGTCACAGTAAATATGTCTCCGACTGTATACTCTTATAAAACATTTTTTTGTTTTTGTAACTTAATTATTTAGAATTCCGTATCCGAAGGGTGCCAACCGGACCCTATTAATAAGCCACCGCTGTTCGTCTGTCTGTCAGCGGGGTTTATCTCATAAACCGTAATAGGTAGAGAGTTAAAATTTTCTCAAAAATTATAAACCAATATGGAGAATTTAAAAATGGCGGCCATGCAAATAAAAATATCGATTATGTACGGAACCATTCATGTGCGAGTCCGACTCGCACTAAACTGGTTTTTATTGCTACAATGTGATGGTCAATAGAATGTTTATGATATACATAAATCAAACCCGCAGCATGCGCCTTAGTAGCCTAAGTTACTTAAATATCTTATACACCACGAATATTTTCCTAAATTTCAATAATAACACAGATATAAGACTGAAATAAATAAAAAAATCCAAAACCATTTCGTTCATACTTTGCGGTTAACTTCGCCATAATTTGACTTTTTATTTCGTTTTCACGATCGGCACTTGTTCTCGTAAAGAAAAGCAATTTGAACGGTTATTACAACTAGAGCTTCGACGGTTATAATATTGTAAATTACCCTAAATCTTCTTTTATTACTTCTTGTAGTAGTAAATAATGCACACATTGTTTGTGTCAATTTTTAATTTACAATAGTTTACTTACTAGCGAAAATTTTTTTTATTGAAATCAACAAGTGTTATATATTTCAACTAGCGACTCACCCGAATCACTCGGTTTCATCCCTAGGTACATTTTAATGATTTTTATGGAAAATATAGACTATAGCCTTCCTCAATAAACGGGCTATCTAATGCAAAAATATTTTTTTAAATCGGATGAATAGTTCCTGAGATTAGCGCGTTCAAACAAACAAACTTTGCCTCTTTATAATGTTAGTATAGGTTATAATTATCGGACTTCTTCGAGTATAATGAATGTGAAAATTTGTATGGTGTGTACGTACTGCCCTAGGTGTTTAAACATAGCTTATATATTACTCTAAATCAGTCTATCGATATATTGAATTTCATCTAAATATGTTCTGCCGTTTCAACGTGAAAGACTACCAAACATACACACACATACTTTTTAAAGTATTGCTATGAGTTATTTATATGGATTACGAAAAACGATGCTGAAATTAGGCAGCATCGTTTTATAATCTAGCGAGATAAAGTTAAGAAATATTATAATTAACTTTTGTTTCTGCAAAATCACAAAGAAAATTAACATCTTTACATTTTTTTACCTTCGTTATGTTTTTTAGAAATCATTTCACGTTAAAAGGTTTCGTTTTAACGTCAGTTGGATTGTTTCAAGTCTTTTACAGTCGAAACACTTTTTTAAGTGTTTTTCGTTTCAAGTACGAGTTGATACTGGGAATGTAAGCGGTAGTCGTATTTCAATTGAAAAACTAAGCAAAAAGTAAGGTCTAAATAAAATTTTATTGTTCAATTTTGTATTTTAACACGCGAGTCTTTGTTTTATTTTAATCAGATCGATAAAATAAATTTATTTAAAAATTGCTTTTGGATACAGCGGAATATTAGAAGAAACTTCAATTTTAAAGCTTTAAATCTTGAATTTATTTGAGTTATTGTGATAACTTTTGCCACGTTTTGAAAATAAAGCTCAAAGAATACTTTATTAAATTGTACTTTTGTATGACACGTTTGAAGCGTCAATAAAGAAAGTGACTAATAATCCAGTCACTGTACGACTAACATATAATTATTTGCTACTTTTTTTTCCTTTTTTTTAAATTTAGAGCATCTGGATAAAATATTATTTATTTGTAAGTTTTAATATTCTCGTTACGTATTTTTTTTTATTTCAAGTCCAGAATCCCCAATATCATAATTGCTTTATGTTATTTAAGATTAAAAATATAAAAAAAAATAACAATTAATAGCCGGACTAATAAAAATAATATTAGTCATACAGTTAATAGCAATAGACTGTTATTGTATTAAATAAGGTCGGGTCACTCGTCAATAAATCGACACAGGCAAAGAAAAACAATGTAACTTAATATCAACATAATTTATACGAAGAAATTAATATCTCACATATTTTAAAGTGCAAATTTAAAAATCGGTGCAATACCGAGTTACAATGTTATTCTTTGCTGACGTCGACATCTATCATATAATAAAATTGTAACTAAGCCGAATTTGTACATTTAATATTTTTTGGAAAATCTTATTGACATAAACATTATTATCGATACAGAGGCCGAATCTATAGTTTTTAGAATGGTTGTCTGTCTGTCTATTACCGCATTACAGAAAAACCACTGGAAGGATTTTGATGAAATTTTGTATTGTGATAGCCGGTTATCCAGGTCAACATATATAGGATAATTTTTACCGCGGGAAAATATCTCATTTCTGAGAAAAAATACAAAAACTGCACTGTAAAAGTATACTAATAGTATGTAAAACCTAAGAATTTGGTTTTTGGTTATCTGAACGCGGGCGGAGCCGCGGGCAATGCTAGTCGCCAATAAAAACATATTAGTTATATGGTGTGATCACAATACTCTTGTTTAAATAGTGATTTGTTAAATAAAATATATACCGCAACCAAAAAATATCATAGACATGTTTAACCAATGTCAAGTTATATGTACTAAGAAGACAAAAACAAAATCGATTTAAATATATAATATGGATTAGCATTAGATTTTTTAACTAATATTATATTAAGTCCATAACTTAGTATAATATTAGATAAAAAATCAAATGCTCACTATATGAGTTAACAAAATACTTAAGTCAGTTACTTATATTAAAAAATATTTTGTAGTGCTATATTATTATGATAATACAGATAGAATATAACTACATTTGCGTGCATATAATAAGTTTTCAAGCAGATAACCATGACCCCGCTTTATACTCGTATCTAGAATGAAAAGTTTAAACTAGTTTCTTCTAATAGAACTGAAACTTATATAAATATTTTAAAATCGATTAATCAAAAACTATAAGGGAAAGATTTTTCTTTACTAATTGGTTAATTCAAATAGGAAATTAAATTATAATTTTGCTAATTATATTATATTTGACGGATTTTGGTCTTTTTTACAATATCATATTATATATTTTTTACGATTATAATATTTATTTTCATATTTATTAATATGTAATATATTTTTTACAACAAAATAAGCGATATCGATTATTACGTCCTTTAGGACATCATTATAACTTGTCAGTCGTCGAACTGTCAAAAAACTATGAATAAAATGGACAAACTATAAATTAAATAAATCCTACAATATGGCTAACCTGCTATAACTTTTAAATTTATTTAGTACATAGCTTACGTAATAGAACTTTTAAGGTATGAAAATTGCCTTCAAAACCCAGTTTCCTTACTCAACTACTACACCTACATATTGCTTTAAATTTTATCCAAGCTTCTTTACGTGAAGTTAACTATAAGTACCTATTGCATAAAATTGCTTATGAAGTCAACACATGTATGAATATTATTCTCAAACTTTATAAAGGTTTATTAAGGTGCTCCTTGTGCTAGTTTCTAAGGTAGTTTAATTTATGTTTACGACTTATAAAGAAAATCTTTTATTTTTTAACTTGGAACATTTAGAAAATAATAAAAAATAAAAATAAACAATAATAAAAAAATTGAAAATATATAATAAGCATGATTGTGCCCGCGGTTCCACTCGTGTAGTATAAGAATAATTGTTACGCTCCGAAGGCTCAACGTGATACGATCTTACTAAAATTATGCTGTAAAGCCATGAATAATTGGATTACTTTTATTGAATATGACAAACATTTTCTGCGGTAATTAATAAGAGTATGAATAATTCATCTCTCTCTCGAAGTACAAGTTTATCCCTAACATTTTTTAACAGATAATAAAAATGTGGGTCAGGTTCATAAATTCATTTAAAAATAATTATATTTTAAAAAACATTTAAAATTCCTTACCTCGAAGATATGAATGCACGAAACTGTCCACCAAACCCGGCTCTCTCCGCTTGTCTACCGCATTCGTAGTTAGTACTGCTCACACCGTGTAAGTCCCCAGTGTGAGGCTCGTTTAACGCCACAAGTCGAAACTATTAGATATAAAATTTAAGGATAAATAATACTCTATAAATAAAGTAAATATTTCTTATATATAAATATGAGAAATATTTATCTTTTTTTAAGAAAAACAAAAGTACTCCAGTGAAATGTACTCGTATTTTTATTTGCATAATATATTTATATCGATATAATTTCCCCGCTCATAAGGACTTGTGACAAAATATATTCAAACAGGTACCTCTTTATCTTTATTATTTTTAACTGACTTCAGAAAAAATAGGGGTATTCAATTTAGCTTAGTTATTTATGTTCTGTACATTATAATTACGTTAATCCCTCCACGACCGCGGACACGCCGTCGTTACAGTTAACAATAGATTTCTTAGAAATTTAATTAATTTCTTAGAAATTTACCTGAAGGTGTTAGTTGTAAGCCCATTTGCATTGCCCATTTTTTTATGGTCAGATTATAGCTCTAAGCTAGTGTCACATAAATTTTGAGTGCTTTTTAGTAAATATTTTTTTATTATTATTATTTCAAAATGTTAGTTGGCTGTATTTGATGTTAAACAACTTTAATAAATGCTTGAATAAGCAAACAACTGCTTCAAGTATACTTACCATGGGACCTCCGTTGCCTGAGTTCTTGTTGTGTACTAGACTTGAAGTTTCTAGAATACTCTGCAAAGGCGTCAGAGTCGGTCCTTTTCCTAGCGGGCTTTGTATTTCCAAGAGCGATCCCATCTGTTTACAAAATACATTATTTTCCATAACAAAACATTTAAATTAAATTTTCTATATTTATTCATATCTCAATTATTATGAACATTCCTTGACAACTATATGAAAATAGGATACTTCAATTTTTATTACTAAAGAAAATCTCGAAGCAATATTTCCATGTCAGACTGAACTCCCGTCATTGCTATCACATTCTAGTAGATAAGTATACGTCCTTCGCGAGAGCTGAATTTTAAATTTGAGATTCTTTACAAAGTGACAGATTTACAAAATGAATTTTCTTTAACTTTAAACCGAAATCTATGAAATGCGATCTTGAAGAAAAGACACATATCTATCATGTTTCATTGGAAGTAAACAAAAGCTTCATTACGAAAAACGAATTGTCTCTCTCACAGTAATTAATTTACTTTCCGTATAACGCCGGTATTCCAATTATCTGGCCGCAACTGCGCATTAACTATATATTAAAACCGCTCAAACCACTCTTGAACGTTAGTATTGGAATTAAAATAATGTAATGCTACTCGAAATTTATATTATAACATATTTTAATATAATAATTATTAATTTAAGACGTGTTCAATTTTTATTGGATTGTGTCAAAAATTAAAACAAAGGACATGATGTGATTAAATTGTTACAATTGAATTCATTCAATTATATTTTTAAATTATTTAATGAATTTATATTAAAATACTCTTTGTAACTTTACGCCTCCATTCGCTTTTATAAGCTCCGTTAAATCATTTACACTATACGAAAATCGATTGCATGACCTCCATTTCTGTCCATCTAAAATATTCTTATATGTTTATTTATTTTTGTTTTTACTTACAGCTACATATTGCCATCCTTTGTTCACTCGTAGAAGGAGGGCCTGCTCCCTCAATACATATGCCAGAGTTCCTCGCGGACTATTCGCTCCCAACTGAACAAAAACAATAGGAAAATGTACTTTTAAAAGCGTATTTTCTAATGTGAACTCTACACCGGATAAAGTTCACTTATATAGTAGGTTAAATTAGTTTCTTATACAATGCTGGTCTAGTAATCATGACTTAAAGTCAGTGTGGTTGCGGTATTATTATTTACTAGCATTGCCCGTGGCTCCGCCCGCGTTCAGATGACCAAAAACCAAATTCTTAGGTTTTACATATTAGTATACTCTTACATTGCAGTTTTTGTATTTTTTTCTCCAAAATTAAATATTTTCCCGCGGTAAAAAGTATCCTATATGTTGACCCGGATAACCAGCTATCACCATACCAAATTTCATCAAAATCCCTCCAGTGGTTTTACTGTGATGCGGTAACAGACAGACAGACAGACAGACAGAAAGACAGACAGACAAACATTTTTAAAACTATAGATTCGGCCTCTGTATCGATAATAATGTCTATTTCAATTAGATTTTCAAAAAAATATTTAATGTACTGATTCGGCTTATTTACAATTTTATTATATGTATTAAGTAACTTTCGTTCGTAAATACTTTGAATTGTGTATATTATAATGAAGTCGTATATAATATAATATAGTATTGTACTTGAGAAGACAAGGGTAGAGGAGGTAGGACGGTGACTGCTCAAGGTCGATGTAGGCTGTCTATAGTACAGGCTGTATTTATTATACATGAAGTGCGAAGACGGCTGCCCTCAAATCGTATGTTTAGAATAGGATTCTCGTTACGTGATTTGATTTCGGTATAGCAAGTTTTATATAATTTGACCTTGTTACTTATTATTATAATTCATACTTTCATACTAATATTATAAATGTGAGAGTGTTTGTTTGTTTGATTCCTCATCTTTCGAGATTATCTCATTCCCACGGGAAAACACGTTAGAATACAATCTAAAGAATATTTATGATCAGAATTACTTGAAACTTGATATTAATGCAATACAATTAAATAAATACGTGTTTTAGCATTTTTCGAAATTCAAGCGATAAGAGTTTAAATTGGGCCATAAAAATTTGTAAGAAACCGATCTTTTTAGAGTTTTATTTTTGTAGTTTTGAGCGGAGCCACGGGTTCTGCTAGTAGTACTTTAATTTGCAATATTTTTCCTTCCATATATTTACGAGTATTTAAGGCATTTCTAAACGTTTGTCAAAGTTTACTGCGATAAAATACGTGATATTCAAAACTGAGGGCCAATGATCAACTCATTCGGCATTTCGCACATACATTCAGTTTAAATTGCAATCAAAATCTAAAATAAACCTTAAACGTTATACCATTTTTTAAATTCGCACCAGTTCGATTCAACTAACAACATTTAAGAACCAAAACTTAACTGCATCGAAAATAAATCGCTATGTAAAACTGAATAGGTAGTTCATTTTAAAATCAAAAATTAATTCATTCAGATCATATCTTAGTGTTTATTTTTAGTACGTAGTCATTAAATTCGCCAAACATATATATATATAAACAAACGATCACGCCAATATATATATATATATATATATATATATATATATATATATATATATATGAACATGTTGCACCAAAAGCACTTAAAACCATTTCGTCTTTAATTTTTCTATGCTATACAGCCAGTATTTTGGTGGGTAAATTATTAAATGACTTTTACCGCAGCTGTTTTACTTGTAGTGTTCATCACAGTTCACCTACTTTTATATTGAAGCATGTTTATGCAATTTGCGTTTGTTCGTAGTACAGCGGCAAGTCTGCTACCGACTTATGTATATAACGTTGAAAGAATTCTAATGAATGAATTGAATGAATTTATATTTTCAATTGTTATATGGCAGGCATTTTTTGCTTTTTAGTCTACAAAAGTAGTGAGAATATTAAAAGCACTGGATCTTACTGCTTAATCTCTGAAGATTATGCTTAGAGGATTACCAGAGAAGTTTCTATTATGATTATTTTTAAGTAAATTTTGGCTCGCATTTTAATTCATTACTTAAGTTCATTGAACTCACTATTTTATTGTTTTAAATCAGACTAATTTTAAGAATGTATACAAAAATATCCTTATAGCAATATAGATTAAAAAAAGCCTTTGTTACTAACTTACTCTTCTTAGTATGAATTGTGAAGTTGACCGGAGCTGGTTAAGAGCAACAATAATCTATACTAATATTATAAAGGTATAGAGTTTATTTGTTTGTTTGAACGCGCTAATGTCAGGAACTACTAATTCGATTTGAAAAGTTCTTTTTGCATTAGATAGCTAGTTTATTGAGGAAGGCTATATACTATATATCATCGTGCTACTAACCAAGGGACCGGAGTAGTAATCATGAATATCAATAAATCGGACAAATTTCCATATAATATTGTAAAACTGATGTTTATATCGGAAGTTTGAACGCGGGCGATGCCGCAAGTACTGCTAGTAAGTTATATTTTTCTACTTTTATAGACTTCTTTTTTTACCGTATTAATTATAAATAAAAATATGAAAGGCCATCTTAATCGCTATTTCGCCAGTACATAAATGAATAACAATATAAAGCAATTACTGTATTACTCTAAAAATATTTCTAGGATTGAAATATCGTATACATCAATATTCGTATTATATTACATTTGTGTGGGAAAGCTTATATCAAATAAGCTGCTTAAACCTGATGAAATAACAGTTCAATTTTTTATGAAATTTATTTGAAGCTCATAAATATAAATACTCGTAAATGAAAAGCCAATGTGAAATGTTGATAAAACGTTTAAAAACAGCTTACATTTTATGATAAATAATTTAATTACTTCGTTATATAATTTAAAAAAAATATTTTTTGTTGCTAAAATTATTTCTGTTACTCTTAGATTTAATGCATGATCCCATACAAATGTATAAAAAACTTGTTATAGAGTCATTTTGTAGCACCTATAATAAAAATAAGAGAAATGAGGAGGATGATCAGATCCTGAAAAAATGACTGTAAGAGATCGTTAAAAACTAATTCTTTAGCCTATGTAATAAAATTAATTGTTAAAAACTGCAATACTGCCTCAGTAGACGTCAAAAGGCGTACGATGCGGGTTGCTCTTAGTGGGTATTTCCCTGTTAGCAGATCAAACTGTGAGAGCAACCTCAGGTTAGTGTGGAGGGAAGGAGAGACAGACACATAGAATCATTTCTCCTAGCCCCAATGTCGATAGAGCCTAGGAGATACATGTTTAAGAGACAGCTAACTGTATCGTTCGGGAGGTCTTCCTTAAAAGGCCAAACATCGAGGCGTAGCAATTGAATACAAAAGATAAGAACGAGAATTTTCTGTTGAGTTTTATGATAAGAGTTAGATACTACTGGATTCTGTTTGGATAGGAAAAGTATAATATTGGTATATATGTATAATAATTATTATTTATATAGGTTCTCAATAGAATGGAACAATGTGTTCGGAACTCACCCGCATTAGAGATTCCGTTGATTTAAACAATATTGTTCCAACCAGAGCTCTTCCATCTTCTTCTTCGTCAAAGTCTACATTCTCCATTAGTGGATCGAGTGGATCCCGGAAACCTGTTTTTAAAGAGAGTGTGATCGTTATAAACTTCTAAATTATACATATAGTTAACCTTAAATAAAGCGCTTGAAACATTACAAAGCCCAGAGATTTGTATTGACTTTATAGTAAATTTTCTATTTGTTGTGTAAATAAATTTGTATTATAGAGAATATTTTTGCAAACCCAATTATTGTCAATCACTGTCACTTAAGGCAAAATGATCCTTTACAGCATCCGCACAGACTGATCACTAGATACCGTATTATTATTATACATATTTTATCAGACTTTGTCTTGTCCCAATGTCAATAACTTTTTTAAATTATAGGCTATTTCAAATTAATGTATAATTTTGTGAGTTAATTTTTGAGATGACTTTTGAGCAGTCTCTCGCATGCCCTTATTTGTTGTAAATATTATTTATTTACGTAAATCTAAGAAAGTACTGTAAAAATTAATATTTTTTAAATAAGACTTATATGATGATAATATTATAATCTAGCCACTGTATATGAAATCCGAAGCTAATCATAAAAATAACAAAAACAACGAAGTGTTTACTTAAATCTATACATTATATATTAAATAATAAGTACTCAACCATACATTTTACTTTGGCGTAGAATATTTGAAATCAATTATGTATGAAGGTCAACTTCTAATATTTATACTTAAATAATAATTTTCTTTACATCCACAATTCAAACGAAACAAAATGAATTATTGATGTAATGGACAAAGATACTAGATTTTCCTAACATTTTATTATTTATATTACTCAAATTAGTTTGATAAACTCAATATTGACGTAGTCTGTGAAGTTTTTAACTTGAAAGATTCATTGAAATTTAATCAATAATAAAACCCTTTAATAAATAGCCGAGTAGAATTCTACAAAATAGTTGAAATTTCTAAAATCATATCAGTTAAATAGAACAATGTTAATAGTTTTGCTTTCAAGTTATACTTACCAAATTGTTCTTGTCTGTACTGCATCAAATTATTCAAGTTTCTGAGAATCTGCAACGAGTCTCGTGGCTTCCCTGAAATGAAATAATGTTAAAATAATTGCTTCACAATGAAATAGACAAAGTAATTTATTCGAAATTATTGAATATTTATATTATTTTAATATTAAAAAGAAACACTCCTCGTAAAGCTTAAGATTTTCTAAATAAAGTGTAGTAAAATAATTCAGTTTTTATCAAATATATGCAATCAAACTTAATTACAAAAACATGAAATAAAATTAATTATGAAAAATAAAAGTTATTTTTCTACCTGTACCGGGCTCCCGTCTAATCCCTGGACTATCAGTCAGTGTATCAATAGGAACTTCGTTAGTATAGCCAGGTGGTCCAGGAGGCCCCGGGGGACCAGGTGGACCAGGGACAGGCAAGTATTGCATACTACTTGGTGTCAGTCCAGGTGGACCTGGAGGACCTCTCGGCCCATCTTTCCCTGGGGAACCTGGGGAACCATCATTCCCTCTATCGCCTTTTTCGCCTTTTACCTATTAGAATTATTTAATACCTATTTCATTCTCATTCAAAAGATCTTATTGTTATATCTATATTGTATTAAATATTAATGGAAAAAACTTACGTTTAATAATAACTTATTTCTTAATATATAAAAAAACGCATTTATATATATATATATATATATATATATATATATATATATATTTATTAATAAACCATATTGTATGGAATAATCTATATATATAAAAGAAAGTCGTGTTAGTTACTTCGCTTATAACTCAAGAACGGCTGAACCGATTTAGCTGAAAATTGGCAGGGAGGTAGTTTAGAGCCAGGAGAAGGACATAGGATACTTTTTATCCCGTTCGACCGCGTTCCAATTTTTATGATATTTTAATTTTTGGATTTCTCTTAGTCCGGAATAGGTAAGTATTAAAACATATAATTAAAATGTGAGAAAGAAAGATTTTTTCTTTTTATATCTATTTAAAACGTACCTAGCGACGAACCCGAGCGAAGCGAGGGTGAGCCGCTAGTAATTGTTAAAACATCTCTTGAAAATAATAAAACATATTATTGCACTATAAAGTCAATTCTAGTATTTTATTTTAAGCGTAATAATTATAAACATGTATAAAACACAATATAATATAATGATGTCGTCGTAATAGTTTTCAATTACAGTGAACTGTTTACAAACTCATTTACGCTTTCATGAGCTCTTATGCGGTTTGCTAGACCATTTTTAAATTTAAATATCCGATCACAAATAATACAGTAAAGGTGTAAAGTTTTTAATAGACGAAGGAGGAGAAAGTTCTCAATTCGATACGCATTTTTTACAGTATAGTCCGATTTCGATGATACTTTTTTTATTGGATAGGGTAACCTCAAAGTTGGTCCTATTTAAATTTGAAAAGAAAATCCACCCCTAAGTGAAGAAAAACGGGGATGATTGATTTTCCACCTGCTGAATTCTGAAAATACATTACTACACTAACAAAAACACTAAAAAAGGAAAGGTAAGTACTTTTTAAAAAACAATAAATACTGACTTCAAAAAGCACTAAGAAGTAGTAAATAACTGATTGGTAATTTTTATTTACTAAAGATACCTAATCAGATATTTTCGAAATCAACCAAGCAAATTAAACCACACCGACTTCGAAAATATCTGATAAGGTATACAATAAATGAAAACTACCAATTAGTTATTTTTGTGTTTTTTGATGTCGATTTTATTTTATTTTTTAAGTAATGAATCATTTACTTATTTATTTTACTACTAATCATTTATGTGGTATATAAGACGTTTTGATCAAATCTATAAACTACATATAGTATTATAATATACGAAATCTTAAACAATACTCGTCTTACTCTCGCACAGACAGACTTATTTGGATTTAGAATTTACCTTTTCAAGGGTCGCTGGCGTGATGCCAGAATCTCCCTTTTCACCTTTCGGCCCCGGAGGGCCCGGCTGACCCGACGCGCCCGGCGGACCCTATTAAATACGAAATATTACGCCTCATGACTTTTCATATTAATTGATTTAATAATCTCTATCTATTATTTTATTAAATAGTAGTAAATTTTCATATACATATTATTCCAAATATTGTACGTATATAAAATTTAAGTGTCTGTCTTTGACTTTGGTATAACTGCCTTTTATTTAACTTTAGTTATATACTAGCATTGCCCGCGGCTCCGCCCGCAGATGACTAAAAACCAAATTCTTAGGTTTTACATATTAGTATACTCTTACATTGCAGTTTTAAAAAGTATCCTATATGTTGACCCAGATAACCAGCTATCATCATAACAAATTTCATCAAAATCTGTCCAGTGGTTTTCTTGTGATGCGGTAACAGACACATAGACAGATAAAAATTCTAAAAACTATAGATTCGGACTCTGTATCGATACTAATGTTTATTTCAATTAGATTTTCCAAAAAATATTTATTGTACAGATTCGACTTAGTTAAATTTTATTATATGTATAGATAACAATTATTAGGCCTAGATTATACATACATAATATACAATAAGTACAATAGAAATATTCTTAAACTATTTATTTTTCTGTTAATTTTAAAAACAAAGGTTCTGGTTTTTACAAAACACTCTGTGACAACCTAGTTTAATCTAAGCGTATGAAGTCATTCCTAGTACAAATTCACCACTCTCGTCTTCAAATGAATATATGAAATCATATGTGATTTTTTTTAAATTAAAATAAGTCTGAGTAAAAGGGCTAGCTGGTATAAGAATCAATATAATAATATATATTTAAATGACATACTATATTTCTATCTATTATACTGTACATATTTTAAAATTATTGAAAGACATTTCAATTACTTTTTCTGTTGATCATCAGTTTCGAGACTCACAATTGCCGATAATAGTCGAGGTTTATATAGACTTCGAAATTAGGCCAGCGAATTCATTAGGCATTATTAAGTTTGAGTCGAATTTCGCTTCAGTCAGAAATATCTTACAATTAGTTACTATAGATTATAAAATAGTATAGTTACTTATTTAAAGTGACCTAAAAATAATATTAAATGTTGAAACAATACTTTAAAATGTGTACTTATAATTATTATACTCACAGCACCCCCTGGAAGTCCAATATCTCCAGAATGTCCATTCATGCCTGGTAAGCCTGGAGGTCCTGGCAATCCCGGGGGTCCTCTAGGACCTGGTGCTCCAGGGTGTCCACGCTTGCCTCTTGGGCCTGTCTCTCCTTTATCACCCTAACATAGTAATTACGAAATTACATTATGTTTAAACATAAATATAGAAATAGTTCCAATAGTGCATCGATGTGTTATTGATACAATTTTGCCTATTGCAAGAATCGAATATACGATCTTAGATTAATATCAGGAGCTATATAAATAATAAGATCTATTATTAAATATTGGGTCAAAATTTTACTCAAGACGACATACATATCATAAGCCTCGATTGAGATCCTCGAAGTCAAAATTGGACTATTAAAACTAAGCGCAGATTCTCATTTTCGCCGGAAGTAGGGAAATAATGTATCTACGTTAATAAGTTTCGTATATATTTTACATCGACATAAGGCCACCTAAAAGTTATGTTATTTACTTAGGGAATATACTGTGTCTATGTACTCTGCATCAGAATATGCATAAATTTGATAAACTAGCGGCTCACCCTCACTTCGCCCGGGTTCGCGTCTGGAACAACTACAACAAATCTATCTGAGGGGAACCGTACATTTTTCTGGGATAAAAAGTAGCGTATATTATATTCCAGACTATAATCTATCTGTGTGCCAAATTTCATCCAGATTCGTTCAGCCGTTCTGGCGTGATTGAGTAACAAACATCCATCCAAACATCTAAACTTTCACATAATATCAGTAAGATAATAAAAGAATATACCTAATATCATGTCAACGAAATAAAATAATGTTCTAGGAATTTCAAACACCTATGTATGTTGAATATAAAACTTTAATGTGCACATTCATACACTGTTCCACCTGCGCCTAATGTTACGCGAACGAACGTTAAACAAACGATAATATTTATGTTTAATTCCATAATAAACGAAAATGTAAACATGCAACATGGCGTACTAATGCGTAAAATGCAAAATTATCGGTGTTTGGACTTTCTTTTATTGGACAATAACTAGCGTGAGCTTTCAAATATTATGTATGTAGCTATCGCAAACTGTACTATGATATAAAGACTTTTTATATATTATATTAACTATTTTTTCATCTGTCTACTTGTATTTTATATATAGGTTATCAATTCGACACGTATGTATGTAATATGTTGAGAAGTGCAAAATATTCACATATGATAATCTATTATTTTACTTATATTATAAAGGGCAAGGATACTTTGATTATTGATAGACTGAAATTTCTGAACTGATTTTAATATTTTATTCATAAATAGGCACATTATTCCAGATTGCAGTACAGTGAATAAAAGGCAAATTAACAAAACGTCTTTAATGGGGCGGATCTCCCTATGATGACGATCGGATGTCGGGCGGATGTATGTACATTTGAATAACATAACATGTTGCAGAAAGCGCCAATATCAGATTTTAGTCATTAAGCTCACCTTAGTCATAATTGCTGCTTCTTCCCTAGATATCGCTATAGGCCCCGGTGGTCCAGCCTCTCCTTTATCACCTTTTGGTCCAATCAGACCAGGTGGTCCCTGAGTACCGGGCAGACCAGATGGACCGATGTCTCCTCTTTCACCAGGCTTGCCATCATTACCAGGAAATCCTTGGGGCCCTTCCATGCCCCGGATACCTTTTTCACCCTATGAGTTTGAAAGACCGTTAGTGATATTATACGAAAAATAAAAAAGATATTTATGTATAATTATATATACAGATAAATAAAAGTGAAGTGTCTGTTTTTTACTGAATGCATATGCATACGGTATTTATAACACAAATTTTAAAATTTTTGTTTGTCTATTTGGTCCGGTTAATCTCCGAAATGGCTGGGCCAATTTTGACGGGACTTTCACTGGTAGGTAGTTGATGTTATATGGAGTAATTTAGGCTACTTTTATTTCAGTAAAGGAATTAGGGTTCCGCTCAAAAAAATTAAAATGTACCTAGGGACGAACCCGAGCGAAGAAAGGGTGAGTCGCTAGTTAAATTATATAAAATATTAGTTGGTTCACAAATTGTCTTATAGTATATTTCGAATATCGATCATTTATTTAGCTTCTAGGCTATAATATCTATATTATATTTATTTAATCAATATTTTTTTCATCTGTATTTGTAATTTTATTCTTACATAAAACCCGCATGATCCTTATTTTGAACGTTGGTATTAGACTACAAATTAGTTATTATGTATGGATAATATCATTTCGTTTTCCATTTCATCGTGGAACAACTCGGAAATTGAGCCGCAAATTGTAGACGAACAAAGTTTACACGAAAAATTTTGAGGCCAACCGCTTTTTAGGGTTCCTGAATAATTACAAAGAGCCTTTATAAGTAGATAGGTTACACTTAGTAATTCTTTTTATTTGAATAAAATGTTTTTAATATAATAATGATACATTAATTCTGCAAATATAGTATATGGATATGAGAGTACGTACAGATAATATTATGTATGTACAACAAAGATTACATATTTGTGTTACGTAAATATTGCTTAATTTCAAAATATTTATCTACTTTATTCATCCTTACTTTTTATTCACCCAAAACAAAATCGACCTTAAGCACTATCAACTTACAATAAGCGTGGTTAATTTTAATTATTTTATTATTTAATGAACTATAATTCAAGGGTAGTCCCATATAAATAAAAAAAAATTAACAATTTAAAAAATAATTTTGCAGTTTGTACAGCTTTTTGTAAAAAGGTATTTAAAGTTTAATGTTAATTCGTGAGAGAAAATTTATTTGCATAATATAAGATAAAGTATATATATATATAGACATAACTAGCGACTCACCCTCGCTTGGCTCGAGTATTTCCCTAGGTACGTTTTAACGGTTAGTATGGAATAGATAGACTATGTATAGCTCATAGACTTCCTATAAGCATTATAATATATAATATAAACGGGCTATGTAATGCAAAAAGATTTTTTCGAATCGGATTAGTTGTTCCTGAGATTAGCACGTTCAAACAAACAAACTGTGCATCTTTATAATATTAGTATAGATGTAATATATGCGAGACTGTCGAATATGTGCAATAAATGTGAGTGAAAATTGTTTTTGTGTTATTTTTTACATTCTAGTAATTACCTTGTCCCCTTTCTCCCCCCTGTCCCCCTTCACCTTGGCAACATCCCGCGGCCCTAAGAACATACGCCATTTATATGCCATCTACGCTATGTAAAAGTCATAAAACAAAGAGCTATTAGTTGAGTGAGTTTGAACGAAATAGCAATATGTGTATTTCATAACTTATGAGTCCATGTATTGCGGTGCGTAAGTCGCTACCAAAGTTTAATGCTTATGAATATTTATTGAAGCCATGAATAATTACTTAGAAATTTCGAGTTTGAAGCAAATGGGTGTACTTAGTATCGTTTGATAAATCGTGTATCTAATGGAATTCTCAAGAAATTTTACTTTAAATAAAACAATTTTCATCGTGCTCTAAAAACTTGTATCTTTGAAAACTAATTTGTACTACCAGAGCCTGTTAAATATATTTTCTTTTAATAATTTCACAATAGTTTGTCTTTTTAAGTAGGTGATGATAATAAATTTACATTATTATGTTTTTAAATCTATCTGCTGTCGGAACTGAAAAGGATTTATACTTAGTAATGTACCAGATTAAAACAATTAAATTATAGTTAAAAATATATTAGTAATTAATAGTTAAATAATATATAAATACCTTATAAAAACTAATATCTTTAATTCTAATAAAAAAGAACTGACAGCAAAATGTTACTATAATTAGCGAAGAGTCGAAAACAAAACAAAGCGTAACTGCATAAATAATTCATGAATCTTGACCTCAATTCTCTGCAGTGTTCACGAAATTTTGACCAAATTTTATTATGAATGAAGTACTGTTTAGTTTCGAAGTTTCAATTAGATATATGTAAAGAAAAAGTGAAGTTAGAGAATAGCTAGCCAATATTACTAAAGCTTGTTAAGAAAACACTAACAAAATTTCTTTGCTCATCGTATAGTTTTTAACTTTTAACATATTTTTTGTCTAAATTGATTCAACTTATTGACTCTTTGATAAAGAAAGCAATGCAACAGAAAAATTAATATTACTAAGTTAAAATATAAGCAAATTAAAATACCTGGTCTTGAAATATCATTTAGCACTGAAATCTCAGAAATTGCTGTCGTCGGTGGACCCGGTGGACCCGGAAGTCCTCGGGAACCTAGAACAATTATCTAAAATAGTATTACATATATAAATCATATGTTATTATTTCCATATTACACGATCTCGTAAATTAAAAATTACAAAAAAATCGTCACCGCAAAAATCTATTCATAAGGCCATTTTAATGAACCTAAACACAATATCTTTGCAGATCACCTGGATTTGACGCTGCAGTATCCGGCCTTTGTAATGTCATTAAAATAACAGGATACCAAGGTTTGAATTGATTTGATCTGTGACATTGTTCATTTATTTTTACCGTTTAGATAATAGCTGATAGCCAGCTGATCAGATTTCTTGATTTATAGCTATGAACACTCTCACTACCAACAAAAGAAACTAAATTAAAATCGGTTCATCCGTTTGGGCGGTACGATGCCACAGACAGAGATAGACAGATACACACGTTTAACTTATAACTCCCCTTTTTAGCATTGGAGGTTAAAAAGAACCAATATCAATTTCTTCTAAAGAAATATATTGAGAAGATAAATTAAAAAGATGACAGAATATTTGAAACAACGAAAATATTTCAGTTGAGGAATCTGATCAAATTAAATATTCAATAATGACGCAATGTCAAAACGACAAGCGATATCGATTCGGAACGAAGATAAAATTTCCCTTTAAATACAAAATGTAACTTGAATCTATAACAGTAAATAATACGCGAATCGTACATTTCGGAATCCGTCTATACGTACCGGTAAAGAATAAAGATTTTCCGAATCGTTGCCATAAAAGCCGAAATTCCTGCACGTTTCGAATAAATAAAGGGTATAGTGAAACATAAAATTTGATGGTTGAGTTAGTTTGTTACCTTTTTCACCCTTTTCAGCGGGACGGCCGTGCGCCCCAGGTAGGCCAGGTGTGCCATCTTTCCCGGGTTGCCCCCGTTCCCCTTTCGCGCCATGTGGTCCACGCATACCCAAGTATCCCTAAAACATAGTTATTATTTAGTTTGAGGCAATAACATAACATACTCAGATAATGTTCTCAAAGCCAAAACAATTTAAAGAGTGTATAACCATATAAAAAAAGGATTTAATTTTGAATTTGTTCATCAATTCTGTATTTTATTAGAATTTTGATTTACTCGCATCCTTCGCTAGTGTTTTCATGCCCACGTAATATCTAACATAGTTATAACGAGGGTCGAACGAATAACATCACGTTACAAGGGTCGAACCGTCAGTTATTGCATTACAGAGTTTATTTTCCACAATGCTACTTACTGCTACACTAAAAGCTTAAAGCTTTGATTTGCTTGCTTAGTTAGGGGACTTGTTATAGATATAACTTAATGATTGGCCTATTTAATTTAAATTAGACTTGATTTAATGATGGCGTTTATATAATTATTTGTAATTGTTTATATAATAAGGCTGACATACCGTACATATTTTAAAAGATTTTTTTGAAATCGGTTAAAAATAACTTACATGTCGGCGTACATTCAACTTATTTTTTCTCGTTGTAATATGTAGGCTAATATGAAAATTACTATTCATTACACCGTATCATGTACACAAAACAGCTTGGTTCAAAACAATATTCATTTTTCAACGAAAGGCCTACTCTTGGCATTGGTTATATTTCTTTACTGTTTTTATAATTTACTATGTTTTAAAATACTACGACCCTTTCTTATATTACTGTACTGTTAGCCCCAGTTAAAATTATTTGGGGTACAATTAATACACATAAAATATTTTAAATGAAAAATATCACGTTACTTTGTAGGGTTCCGTACCCAAACAGTGCCAACGGCCCTATTACTAAGTCTCCGCTGTCCATTCGTTCACCCGTCCGTCTGTTAAAGGGCTGTATCTCATGAACCGTAATAGACAGAGAGTTGAAATTTTCACAGTATGTATTTCTATTGCCGTTATAATAACAAATAATAAAAATAAATAAAAAATATAAAAAATAAAAATACAACAAATATTTTTTTAACGTTCATAATCAATTATCGAAATTAATATACTACATACATAGAGTAAAAGTCATATTAATAAAAAGTACATGTACGAAGATACGGAACCCTTCGTTTGCGAATTCGATTCTCAAGTTGACCGATTTTTCCAAAATATCCTTAATAAAACAATTTCCGTATGAATAATTAATCTAAATTACCATTTATTGATAACGCAAGATTTTTACCATTTATTGATAACGTTGGTTCAATTTTAGTTGGTTGGTTGAAACATGTAATTAAGAACGATTTTTGTAATTATAAGGTCTAAAATTAAGGTAGTTAGTATAATTTAATTCACCCTATTTGTGACTTCATAAAATTGTTGAAGCACCATATTTTTTCAACGAAAACAATTTTATTTATTTAAATAATGTATGTAACAGTAAAAATTGGAGGTTTTACTAATGCTAAAGAGTTTGTATTGCTTATATTTGCTTATTTATAGCTGGAAAATTACCACAGGTATAAATTAAAGTATTAGCTGTTTAGAAATGTACATATTTTCGTTTTTCTTACTATTCTGTATAGGATTAAAAATTAAAATAAATATTTACGTAAATACTTTTACGGCAATATTTAACCTACCTATACGCATAGTATGTTTGATACTTTAAACATATTATAATTTAAAAAACGAAAAATAGAAATATGATATATTATATAAAAATAAGATATATCTTTTCTGCGTAAATAAAAAAAATGTTTTGAGAATGTAGTTTTCATTAAAAAAAAGCAGAAAACATTATAAAATAAATATTTACAAAGCAATCGTAAATAAAAAAAATTTTTTTTTTTCAACATTTCCATTATAAAAACGAGGATACATAAATATTTTCCTGTTCGCTTCTAATAAACGAATTCTAAACCTAAACAAATATTCATTTACAAAATCAAATCCGACAATATTTGAGTTTCATGCCGTAATTTTATAGGAGAGTAAAAAATGTTTTATAGCACGAATATTTCAAACTTACCCGTTCACCTTTATCGCCTTTAGCCCCATGTAATCCTTTTTCCCCTTTATTCCCCATATAGCCCCTTTCACCTTGTGGCCCCGGGAGACCCATCGGGCCCCTGTCGCCCTGAGGACCGGGAATCCCGCGATCACTCCCGTATAATCCAGTAGATTCCTACAAAGCGATTTACAATAAAAAAATGCGTACATTCAATTTTACATTTAATATACATTGAAAAATCTAAGAAGTTTCTAAGTATTTTATTAATATCACCAAGTTTTATTATGATCAAGATTTGTTTATTTAAAGATATCTTTCATAAAGACTTTGGTAACATATTCCTATAGCAATTATGCACATAATATGCTTGTCTTGACAGAACCCAATAATATAAGTATACTAATACTCACTCGTGCTACACTATATACAGTTAAACACAGATAAAAATTTGATTATAGTATTGACTTACGGTATGTTTTAACGGTTAGTGTATATGTTTTAGAAATGAGATATTTTACCGCAGTAAAAAGTATCTTATATGTTGACTCGGATAACCAGCTATCATCATATCAAATTTCATCAAAATCTGTCCAGTAGTGTTCTCGTGATGCGTTAGACACACAGACAGACAGCGAAATTTTTTAATAACTGTAGATTCGGCCTCTATGGCAATAATAATAACTATTTCAGTAAGATTTTCCAAAAAATATTTAAAGTACCTACGGATTCGACTTGGTTAGAATTTTATGATATGTATAGATACTCGTAAGAACATATATCAAAAAAGAAATTAAGGCCGCAGCTATAGAAACAATACAAATAATTGAATTTTCATTAGACTTGAGTGTTAACATCAATTAGATAGAAGGCGTTTAATTTAATCAATCCTAAAATCTTAAGGTAACTTTAATAAGATCTTCTTAAAACAGATTTTTATTACTGGAATTAAATATATTTAGCTTCGAAGGAAGCTAAGAAAGTTAAAGAAAGAATTTCATTAAATTTCATTGAAACAACACAGCGATATTTTCCTCATATTACAGTGCGTTTATTTTAGGTTTCAATGAGCAATTAGTGGAAGGTATTTTGAGATGAATCATTATTGACCGAATTTAAAAAAAGGAAATCAAGTGTGTTTATTTTTCATGTTATAAATGAATTTAATTAATTTTAACTCTGAATTCTTTAAATTTCTGAATATGACTAAGAAAAAAACTTTATTTCCAAGACGAAGCTTTACTTGTGGAAAAAGGTATTGACGCAGAAACTATAAACGCCAATATTTCTTTTACGTAGTAAATAAACCCGTTTTTCGAGATTTAAAACTTAAATTATCACCTTTATCATAAAATCTTTTAATTAGTATTCATACTATAAATATCTTTGGTGTATTTATTTGGGTTACAAACATGAAACATTATATGGAGTTTACAGTATTATAATTTCTTAGTAATCACAAATGACATTAAAAAGCAATGAAGACAATCCAATAAATCATCAACTAATTCTAAACGAAACCGTTAATAAAATAGAAAATAAATTACTTTTAATATACTTGAATGTCGCAAAACGAGCAAGTGCTCTTTCGTTTATAGCCTTTTTATATCAACCTACATTCAGTTATAAAAGATAGGGATCTTAAAATTATCAAGGCTTATTGATTTGTCTTTTAAAATATACATAGTTAAATTTTTAGGCTTCGTTTAATTTGTCTAAGTGACTAAAACTGTCTATTAAAGCGGAGGTCGTTGTTTCGATTTACGCTAATGATAATACACGGATTAAAGTGGATAATCTCAGTCACTATTTTGTATTGGTTATAATAGATTATATACCCACACACCCCACAGATGATGGTCGTTCTACAAGAATCAAATAGTAATAAAAAGTAAATTCATGGGAAACAATATGGGGTACAGTTTAATCAATCTATTGACAACTTACTCTATATTTTCAACCGACTTCAAAAAGGAGGAGGTTCTCAATTCGACTGTATGTTTTTTTTTATGTTTGTTACCTCAGAACTCCGTCATTTATTAACCGATTTGGACAACTTTTATGTTGTTTGAAAGTGTATACTTCCAGATTGGTCCCATTTAAATTTCAAAAAAAAATACCACCCTTAAGGGTGGAAAAATAACTAATGATGAATTTAACCTACTTCTAATTGTCATATTGACTTGAAACTTTGCAAGTGTTTCTATTTCCGTTTATAGTACAGTGGTTTGGTATTGTTGACCTAATCTGATGGTAAGGCCAGAAGGTGGATAGGTGGAACTCTTCAACGGCTAATAGTAGATACTTTGAGTTTGGGCTTGTTTTGTTTGATTGGACAAGCCTAAAACGTTAGAATTTTTACTTTGCTACTACTGTCTACACTAAAAAGGGAAAAATAAAAACTTTTTAACAAAAAAATAAAAACCGACTTCAAACAAAAGCACTAAAAAGTAAAAAATAACTGATTGGTAGTTTTCATTTACTATACATACCTAATCAAATATATTCGAAGTCGGTTTGCTTTGGCTAACTAATTAAAGCCTACCTATTAAATACATACCTAATCAAATATTTTCGAAATCGGTGCCAGCCCATATAAAGCAAAGCACACCGACTTCGAAAACATTTGATTAGGTATGTATAGTAAATGAAAACTACCAATCAGTTATTTTTTACTTTTTAGTGCTTTTTTTTGAAGTCGGTTTTTATTTTTTTGTTAAAAAGTTTTTTGTTGTTTAAAAGTGAGAGAATAATAAGATTATTACCATTAGTGCTGATGCAACGGGTCCTGGTGGGCCTATTGGCCCCGGCGGTCCTTGCAGACCAGGAGTGCCATCTGCCCCAGGTTCACCCTTAGGACCAGGCTGACCTTCCAAACCTGGTGCACCAGTTTCACCCCTTTCTCCTCTATCTCCTTTTGAGCCTGCCGGACCTGGTGGACCAGGCTCCCCCATTTGTCCCTAGGTGAATATAAAAACGATAATAATGCATTTTAATGTATTCAGAGAGTAAAAAATGCTTAATATTATAAAGAGGTAAAGTTTGTGAATTGTGAGTTTGTGGTGTTGTAGGGGCGTAATCTCTGGATCTACTGAACCGATTTAGATGAAATTTGGTAAGAAGATAGTTCGAGACCCGAAAAAGGACATAGAATACCTATTATCCCGGAAATCATCCATTAAGGGGATGAAAATGTGGATGAGATTTGTATGGGGAATCAACCTAGGGACGAACCTACCACGACGAAATATATAAAGTAGTTAAGTAGCGATTCTCACATATTTCCCAATATTTGAATAACCATCTTTATTCCTCCATTTTCTGATAACCTACATTTTCGATGTAATAATACAAAACTGAATAAAAGAATAGCGAAATTGTTGATAGTTTCAATTTCATGTTGGAATAAAAATTTACTCTATCAATTCCCGAGCAACAAAAACCAGTTTCGTTCCAGAGCAAAATTATTTGTTGTGTAGGCTCTATATATAAATATTGGACTCCATTTGAAATGCTCTCAGTCACAATCAATGCACGAAATTTCCTAAAAGCTTACTTTTTATATTAAGTGTAATTTATATTACAATCCTACATGTATATTATTATATTTTGAACTTTAATTATAAGGATTAAAGGTGGAAAATAATAATCAATTTATCATTTTGGACCGACTTTAAAATGTACCTTTTATTTTCTTTATCTGTATATTATGTGAAATTTTGGATCAATCTTGAAAAAAATTCATGATCGTATGGGTAAAATAATAAAAATATAAAGTCACATAAACTTATTTTAAAAACTTTTAAAACAAACTTACTTCTAAAAGCTAACATGTATATTTATTTAAATTAAATTTCAACAATTATAGCTTTTTACCGTTTTTCCAGGAGCTCCGGTAGTCCCATCTGCACCAGTAGGTCCTTGAGGTCCTGGAGGTCCTGTTAATTCCGGTATTGCTTCCAGCATTCGGGAAATGTCACCTGCACTACATTGGCATTGAGAAGACAATGCTACCTGTATAAAGTGAGATATATCTAATAAAAATGTATTTATGAAAATATGTGCTATTTCATTCTATAGTCTATATTTGTGCGAAATTTCATCCAAATTCGTTCAGCCGTTCTGGCGTGAAAAAACAAACAAACATCATAAACATAAACATAAAACAAGAAACAAAAAAAAAACATAAACATAAATTTATATTTATATTTTTTTTATTTATTTATCCATAAACTTTCACATGTATAATATTAGTATGGATTGTTTCTTACATAACTTATGTAAAAATTCTTCTGTTTTTCAAAGTACTTCATTGTAATTAACCAAAATATATTTAATTTTATATCTTTAAACGAGCAATTCTTTTATATATATACTCTGAATCAAGGAAATGGCTCCAATGATTTTCATGAAATTTAGTATACAGGGAGTTTCGGGAATTTTCATGCGGTTTTCTTTCGCATAATTCCACGCAAAATATGGTCAATAATTTCGCACGCTCGGGCATAGGCGTTATAATCAAGCGGCCAAGGCGCAAGATTGACAATCATAGGTGACCGGGTTCGAATACCGGACGGATACAAAGGTATAATTTATTTTTGTTTTTTTTTGTATTTATTCAAGTTTTTAGTTTTTTTTTAAAGAAAATTGTACAAAAACTCCGAGCGATGCTCGGTGGCCCAGGTACTGTTTTATGCTAGGTTTATGCTAACTAGTATTGTTGTAAGTGATTACTGTTACTAAGAGGATATGTTATCTCACTATTATAAAATGCATGATGGGATATGACAAGGACTATAATCCAGTCATGATTAAGCTTTGATATATCTGTCAATGATATTATTGTCTTTATTCAATAAAGATTTACATTATTGTAATGTAATTGAAAAAAAGTTATGTATGTATGTACTATATGTATGTATATGTATGTATTCAGCCCTTTTTAATGTCCCGCTGCTGGGCACGGGCCTTCCTTCAGTACGAAGGGGATAAAGCCATAGTCCACCAAGCTGGCCAGTTGCGGGTTGGCAAATCCTTCTTTAATGATTATTAAGACACAAAAATATTCCACTCTCAAAGGTGAAACATTTACTTCAAAAGTCATTTTCAAAAAGGCATTAAACTAAAATCTTACATACTTTACAAATAACTATATATCACGTATTTTTTTCTTTTAGATAAACTCTAATCATGACTATCTCTATAACCATACAAGATGCCTTAAGGTATATCTCTGAGAATACTGAACTGACAGAAATGAAACTTAGTTTATTCTTAAATAAAGAAGCCAAAAAATGTTTCAATACTAGCGAGTCATGATACACGTTGCACACTGTAATTTATTCACAACCCACACCTACGGTTCAAAAAAATCAAATGCTATGGTTTATAAATACTTTAATATTTAGAAGTACCCAGAAACACATAATTTTGTACAAAATTCATTACATATGCTTTTTTCTATTAAAGTTTAATTTTAATACTATAAAATATCAACTATTTTTTACACGTAAAGTAAACAAAGTTTTTTAAATCCAAGTTTATATAACATCTTTTGCAAAATTAATTAATCGTCAGCTTCCTAACAGAAAATTAAAGCACGAAATATCAATGTATTGCACGAAACTTTGTACAGAACTTTACTGAAAATTTCCACTGTAAATGATCCAATCAGTATGAAAATATGAAAATGGTATAAGTTTATGGTCCGTTGCAACAGACATTTTTGGAACAACATTTTCTCACTTTGTTAATGTAGAGTGAAACCAAATAAAGGAACCTTCAACACTATAAAGCTAAAATTATACTTACACTATCTTCTTTTCCTCCTTGGTGGACATCTGAACAATAAAATATGTAATATAAAAATATCTATCAAAAATAAACCGAACTTGTGGTACATAGTTTGTGTTAATTAATTATTTAAAATAAACAATTTTACATTGAAAAGTGGCAAATCATGTTTTTTAAATAAAAATTTGAATGAAAATAAAAGACCATTTTAGTTTTAGACTATTGATTTTGTAGCTTTGGTAATAATAACACACATTGAGAATATTTTAATCTACTTATTAATTAGGTTTAAATCATACAGCTCTATGTAATTAGAGCCAACATAACAAAGACTTAGAAATGGCCTTATACTTAAACTCTTTGCCCTAAAGTTATTCTTTATTATCTATAGACTATAGTATCATGAATAAATTAGGCTATTCCTTATGTTTGCTCTCATATAAATTCCAAGAATAAACTTAATTGTATATTGATAGTAAAGATAGTTTAGAAATAATTTTTTTTAGATATTTGTACATCGAGTTTTTATTTAAAATAATTAAAATTTCAAATTTCCTTCCTGTAATGCTTATTATATCAATTCACATTAAATATTCATTAGAAATAATATTGCAAACATATTTTTTGTAATAAATAAGAGATAATTTTTAAGTAAATACTTACATGGAGATGAATGTGATACAATTGGTAGTCTGTTCTCATCTGGATTTACCTGAAAAGATAGAAAAAAATACTTGTATTATTTTAGTAATATGCAGGTACTAGCTTTTATCCTTGCGTCGCTTCACTCGGGTGTTTCTCTGGGATCTTAATGCCAATATGCTACTCCGTGTCGTAGTCTACTTGTGTACTAAGCTCCATCTAAATTCGTCCAGCCGTTTCAAAGTGAAGAGTAGAAGTTGTACGCCACACACAAACACAAACTCATAAAAACTTCTACAGTTATAATAGGATGCTAATATGCAATAACATGTTAACCCACAAAAATAAAAATATTTTTTTTTTTAAATCCATTCTCATTTTGATCTAAGAACGATTTGCAATAACGTTTTAAATCAAATAACCCATATATCTAAAATCATACATTTTAAAAATGTTAAACCACAATTTTCTTTTATTCATTTCACAAGAATAATTCAAGTTCCTTGATTAATATTTGCAAACACATAGTGCCATCTCTTATTTCGTTATTAAAGTTCATGAACATTAACATGTAGTTGCGAAAATCAAGGCAGTTAAAGTGTTCGTTTGAAGTTTGATTTCGACGGTTATTTAATTTTCATATTTTATTTATATTTAAATAGTTATTTGAGTGGCTGTTATATCCAGTGATATTTAAAAAAAAACTAGTGCTACAAAACAGTGATGTTTAATGCAAGGTGAGTGTTTTATTAATAATTTAAATGATTTTTGTATTAAGTTACATTTTTTACAATAGTCTGGTGTCTGTCTGGTTTGATTTCTATCAAATTCAATATATTGAGGTATAAAAACTTTATACTCAATTTTCTCAAAATGGCAGTCGTGTGGCTTGACACAGTATTTCATATGTGCATCCATTATAGTAGTCCAATTTTTGTAATAAAGTGAGAGTTTATTCAGCACGCGAATTTATTTTGAGCTGTCATTAGTAGCAAACCCAGATAAAAATGGGTCATAATTTTCTGGTGATAACAACTAAATGAAAATTCATACGGCACGAGAGAATCTTAATAATTTTGAAATTGCCGCAAGCATGACGCATGTAACTAATCTATACATACTCATATAATAAAATTGTAACTAAGCCGAATCTGTACATTAAATATTTTTTGGAAAATCTTATTGAAACAAACATTATTATCGATACAGAGGCTGAAACTTTAGTTTTTAGAATTTTTGTCTGTCTGTCTGTTACCGTATTACAGAAAAACCACTGAAGGGATTTTGATGAAAATTAGTATGGTGATAGCTGGTTATCCGGGTCAACATATAGGATACTTTTTACCGCGGGGAAATATCTCATTTCTGAGAAAAAATACAAAAACTGCATTATAAGAGTATACTATTATGTAAAACCTAAGAGTTTGGTTTTTGGTCATCTGAACGCGGGCGGAGCCGCGGGCAATGCTAGTTACAATTAGTCGGAAATTGAAGGCTTATCGTTTATCTAACAAAGATCGGGATCCTGCATCGGTAATTTAATAGTTTTGGTTAGTTTACCAACCTTAAAGCCATTATATAATAAAGGTCATGCAATCAAAGGTGGCATACCCTAGATTGTATGACTTTTTTAGAGTTAAATGGGGTTAGCGAGCAAACGATCCACCTGATGGCAAGTGGTAAAATTCGCTCATAGTCATCTGTAACATAAGATGAGTTGCGAATACGTTGCCGGCCTTTCAGTGACCTGAAGACAGAGAAACCTTACACACACCACACCTTACACAGTGTTATCTAAACAGTTAAATTTTGCAGGCAAACCATAGCGAATATTGAACAAAAATTATACAGATGGCTATCACATATTATTTTAAGCACACTGTTACATACAAATATTTAGTAATCACCTAGTGGTTTTTGTATTTTATTGCCAAATAATCCAACCACTTTAAATTTAAGTATTTTAAGTCGATAGTCGCTTTAATTTATTTTCAATCACATTGCAAATCAATATAGTACCTACTACCTAATTGTATTGAAAATATATTAAATGCAAATTATTTTATATGTATGATTAGAACGATGATGCCTATTAATTATATGTATTTTAGTCTGTGCTAATTGAATCATAATAGTTATAACTGTTTTTTTCATTTTTCGACGCAACTGGCCCAAGTATGTTTAACATTTAACTTTGAACGTATATTAATATTACTAGCAGCACATGCGGGTTCGCCCGCGTTAAAACTTCCGATCGCTTCTAAACTTTACAGGATCGCCCGCTGGGCTAATCTAAAGATTGCCTGAAAATTTTATAAAAATCGCTCTAGCTGTTGCGGAGTTCATAGGGAACATACATACACACATCGATTATTATTATATAAAATTATTGTGATATTACCTAGCCGTTTAGACTTCAACTAATCGCCGTCCAAACTTTAAAATCGTTCTGAAATATACGTAAACCAGAAAACAGTAAATTCAATCTCTCACTGACAGCTCCTTTGCACAAGAATCCCTGATATCATAACAAAGGTGAACTCTGAAAGAGGTTTTTTTTTTAAAATAAGCAATGAAACTTTGTTTGGAAAGTTATTACGTAAAATGAAAAGTGATGATAAATTTCTATTTATATTGCTAAATGAAAATCAATGGGAATGATCACTTAATGAAAATTTTGTGGTAACCATATTATTTGAACAAATACTGAGATAAAATGTACAAAAGACTGACAAAACTAGAAAATATCACCATCTGGCACATAAAATACATCAAAAAAAATCATGATGACCCAATGCTCTACTTATTGAAAGACAAATAAACAAAGAAACATACTAATATTCGCCCAGTAGGCGAAATTCGACCATAATGATTATTGAAAATTTAAGAAAAACATCAAAATAGAATTTACCTATCTATATAAATGAAACTGCCTCCAATTTTTTTTAATAACACCCCAGCTTGTCAGTATCTACTAAAAAAATTAAAAAAATCGGTTGACAACCGGATGAGAAAAAGCTACTGAACTGATTTTCTTTTTCTATTTATTCCTTCAGCTTAGTATATAATTCAAATTATCTAATGGTAAAAATGAGGACAAACTGACGTTTGTTATATTATTATGGACTTAAAGCCAGGCAAAAGCAATAATGAAATTATTCTTATATATTATTATGTTCGTAGATATTATTATTTGGTCTCAACTATTTTCATACGAAAATCGGTTTAATATTACTTGTGTATCGTTGTAATAACGATAATATAATCTTGTTTATCATTATTATATCCAATACATTATTTGTCAAGTCTATACAAAGTCTGGTCACCCAGTTTTTGGGAATATAATAAAATATAGCATACTAGCGACTCACCCTCGCTCCACTCGGGTTTATTCCTACGTTTTAACGGCTAGTATAGATTTCTCAGAAATGAGACATTTTTCCGCTGTAAAAAGTATCCTATATGTTGACCCGGATAACCTGGTATGATCATAGCAAATTTCATCAAAATCTGTCCAATAGTTTTCTCGTGATACGTTCCCAGACAGACCGACAGACAGACAGACAAAAATTCTAAAAACTATAGATTCCTTTCGATTAGATTCCTCTATATCGATATATCTAAAAAAAATATTTAATTTACAGATTAGACTCAAAATTTTATTATATGTATAGATACATCGCGCGATATAATTTTAAATTGTTAGTATAATTTTAAAATAGTTGTTTTTTAATATGAATAAGTTATTTACACGTGCACCACAAAATCTAATATGCCAAAATAAACAAAAATAGTAAAATATGTCGAAAATTCAAGATAATTTGGTAAATTATGGCTTATGTAATATAATATTCGTCCAAACACCACAACAATGTAGTCATCAAGGTAACATTACCAAATGCCAAAACCGCTTCTCTATAATAAATCATAATTTCTGTCTCGGACCCATCATCGAATTATCGTGGACACTGACCTAATGATAGTATTTCGTGTCATACTACAATCAATTTTGTTGTATTTTGTTTTTAGACCAAGTTAAAATAACTGTGTTTCATCTAATCTATTTCATTGCCGACAGAACAAACTTAAACGATAGCAATAGATATGATTTATAGTTTATCAGTGTGTTTTGTTAATAACATCAATAAATACTTTCAATTTATTATACTTAATAGCTATTAATATATTGGTTTTATCTATTAACTTGATATATTGAATGAAATATACATACGTTAATTCTTTTTAGAGTTTGATATGTAAACTAGTGGCTTACCCTCGCTTGCTCGGGTACGTTTTAATTTTTTTTTTGAGTGGAATCTTAATTCCTTTTCTAAAATAAAAGTAGCTTAAGTTACTTATTAAAACATGAGCTATCTACCAGTGAAAGTATTGTCAATATCGATCCAGCCGTTTCGGAGATTAGCCGGAACAAACAGACAGGCAGACAATTAAACAGTGTTTTTCTTCTACGTACCGTATATAATTTCATATGGATTTAGTAAAAAGCTGTTGTTTTGACATTACAAACAGACACTTCAATTTTATTTATCTGTATACACATAATTGAAAAACGAGTAATATAATATTAACTATTAGTATTGCCCGCGGCTTCGCCCGCGTTCAGATGACCAAAAACCAAATTCTTAGGTTTTACATATTTCCCCCCAACGTGCGTTCACCTTGTCGTGGTGGGGGGGCTCAGTAGTGCCCGGCAACCCAACCGGGCGCGAAGCCAAGAAACGCACAGGGAGGTGGCCCACTTCGGTGGGCGGTGGGAGGTGACCCTCTTCGTAGGGCAGTGTACCATGCGGGTTGCTCCTGGTACTTCTCTGATAGCAGAGTGGACTGTGGAGCAACCCCGTGGTTGTTGTGGTCTGCTTCGGCAGACCTGCCGTCGGGGCGTCGTAGTTGAATGCGTAAGCGATCCTGCCAACGCCCCATTAAGACGGGGGAAGGTTTTGTTGGGTTTTAGTGGGTAGTAGTGGCTTTGCCGGTGAGTCCCACACCTCGTGCGTAAATGCATTTCCCAACGTTAAAAAAAAAAAAGGTTTTACATATTAGTATACTCTC